CCTGCTCCTCAGACCAGAGAGAACCTCCCCTGGAGTTCTTTCTGTTCACACCTGGAGTGCACTTCCAGGTTTAAGGAGCCTTCAAGTCCAGGCTGGAAGATACTGGAGAGGGAAAAAATGATAAACTACTCATCACCAGTTTGGTAGACTTTCAAATGCTGGTGTTCTTCCCCATCTCTTACTACCGTTTACATTTCTACGTCCTCAGAGAGCTGTTCCGCACATTCTGTGCAGGACTTATACTTGCAGCATTAAGGTAAGCAGAAGAGAGCATGCTTAATCTATTCCAGAACTGGAACATAGGTCCTGTTATATTTAATTTGTTAAACAAGAAAGGAAATGCAAATGCTTTCAAAATCTAAAAGTCTGCCTCCAAAGTTTGTACTATGAGCTTATCTTTTAAAACTAAGTATTAATTTCCGGTGAAGATTTCTTTTAAAGAGATGAACCATTGCTTTTTCACTTGAGAGTATTCAGAAGTGTAATTTCTTCTCTTATGTGTCTGTTAAGGTTCTTGGGGTATAAGCAATAGCAGTGGTTTCTTGCTAACTTAAACAAAAGGGAAATTCCAAGCACAGATTTTCAATAGAGGTGAGACAGACTTATGTTTGGGGGGAAAGATAGAAAATGAACAGGAAGAGAAAACCAAACTCACAGAAGAAAGGCTAAGTTGAAGAAAACTCAGAAAGAATCCAGGCTGTTATGGGAAAGCAGGCATGCTCAAAGCCTTGACAAAGCCTTTCGTTTCAAAAATTAAACTTCTGGGAGAGTTTGTCTGATCCACCAGCCTCTCAGATGGGGTAAAGCACCAAAAGAAAATCAGAGTGCTCTTACAAAGCAAGGTTCAGGGAAAGTGCTGCCACAGCAAAAAGCAACAAATAAATGCTTCCCCAAAACATGCCATACATGCTCTTCGCTGCTGTTTTTGACAGAAGAATTAACTGAGGAATGTCTTTTAGTGATGAAGAGAAAACCAATATAGACTCAATAGCATTAACTTACAGAAGCAGTTCCCAAACTCTTTGGTCCTGGGATTCCTTTATACTCTTAAATGTTAATGAGGATCCCAAAGAGCTTTTATTTATGTGAGTTATATCTATTAATAATCGTATTAGAAATATAAAACTGAGGAAATTTAAAGATATTTATTAATTCATTTAAAAAACAAATTAATTCATTACAGTTTAACATAAATACATATCTTTATGAAAAATTACTATATTTTCTAAGACAAAAGTTTAATGGGAAGGGTGGCATTGTACATTTTTACAAATCTTAATATCTGATTTAATAGAAGAAAGATGGATTCTCATTTCTGCTTCTGCATTCATTTTGTTGTTTTGGTTGAAATATATACAAAAAGCAATCTGGCCTCACAGATATGAAGTTGGAAAAGGAAGGAATATTTTAATAGCCCTTCAGAAAATTATGGCTATATTTCTTCAACTCTATACCAAACTTTGGCAAGTGAGCTTTTCATCATCTGCTACATAAAAATGTGTTAGTCTATCTTATACTTTAAATGGATCTTTTACCCACAAATGATTCTGTAATATAATGCACTGATCATCTGGAAAATATTGGCTCATCAAATTATGTAGATCATCCAAATATTGACCCATTTATTTAAAATATTTTTAAAGTCACAGTTGTTAATTCCATCATCAATCTTATCAGAAAAGTCTTGAAGAATTGGGAAGCTATCAAGCACATTAATACAACTTTTCCAAAACTCTTTCACTTGAAAGCTTGAATTTTATCATTGGTAACAAATACTGTCAATTGTTTTCCTTGAAGTGACAAGTTCACTTTCTCAAGAAAATAACGGCCAAATACTTAAAGTTTGTCAGTTCCTTCAAGTCAGTTGTTCTCAACCTTTCTAATGCCGCCACCCTTTAATACAGTTCCTCATGTTGTGGTGACCCCCAATTTCATTGTTACAAATTGAACATAATTAAAGCATAGTGATTAATCACAAAAACAACATGTAATTATATATGTGTTTTCCGATGGTCTTAGGCAACCCCTGTGAAAGGGTCATTTGACCCCCAAAGGGTCGCGACCCACAGGTTGAGAACCACTGCTTCAAGTCAAAATGGGATTCCATTAAGAAGGCAGCTAGGCCCTGGCCAGTGTTGCTCAGTGATTAAAGTGTTGGCCCATGCACCAAAGGGTCTTGGGTTCGATTCCCAGTCAAGGGTTGGTACCTGGGTTGCAGGTTCACTCCCTGCTCTTGGTCAGGGCATGTGTGGGAGGCAACCAGTCAATGCGTCTGTCTCACATTGAGGTTTCTCTCCTGCTTTCCTTCTCTCCCTCTCTACTTTTTCTCCCCTCCCTCCTCCCTTCCACTCTCTCTGAAAAGCAATGGAAAAATATCCTCAGGCGAGGATTAACAACAAAAAGCCAGCCAGGTCAGCCTGCAACTCAATCACTCCAGGGGGTTCTTGAAGACAATCATCAAATTTGCAGCAAAAATACTTCAGGCAAAATTCTTACTTTGTCACACAAAATAGTGAAAAGATGTTTGCTCAAGAGTCTAGATTAAATAAAATTAATAATTTTTACTGCTTCCTCAAAGACATTCTTAACTGAAACTGGCTTTTATAACTGCAAGCATGTGGCAATGAATACAAAGAGTACTAATACAATTTACCACTACCTTGGTCATGCTGAGGCAAATGTCAATGCACAAAAAAAATTGACTATTGTTTTTGGCATTGTTATGAAAATTGTTTTTGACCCGTTAAAGGGTCCTGAAGACCTGCAAGAAATCCCCAGACTATACGCTGAGAAGATCTAACTTAAAAAATAACTCACTTGACAAAAAAAAAAAAAAAAAGACAAGTGACATAGTATGTAATAACTAGATCAAGGTAATTTTGATAGACAGCCCCTAAGATGGCCCCCAATGATCCCTACCTCGCGCAGAGTCCCATTTTACACACTAATCCAGAGTTGGTCTGAACTACGTGACCAATAGCATATGCCTGAAGTGATGATACGACATTACTTCTGAGATTAAGTTATAAAAGACTGCAGCTTCTGTCCTGGGCTCTCATTCTCCTGGATCACTTGCTCCAGGGAAAGCAAGCTACCATGATGTAAGCAGCCCTATGGGAGGCAAAGAGCTAAAGTCTACAACCAACAGCCATGGAGGAAGTGAGTCCTGCTAACAACTGTGTGAGTGAGCATGGAAACAGATCTTTCAACCCTAGTAGTCAGCTTGACTATAATCTCATGGAAGACTTCAGCCAGAAATACCCTGGCTGAACAACTACCACATTCCTGACTCTTGGAAAATGGGAGAAAATACTTTAATGTTTTAAGTTGCTACGTTTTGGGATAATTTGTTACACAGCAGTAATAGTAATAGAGTTAAGTATACCGAGATCTTGTACCTGGTGGAAAATGGAAAGGAGAAGGAGTCAACATAAGAAAATGGTTAACTAGACTTTACGAATAGATTTTTCCTTAACGAAGCTCCTAAACTAAAGATCTATGAACTTAAAATAATATACAGCTGAAAGATGAAAGCCCACAAAGCTTCTTCCAGAAGACAAATCTATAATCCTTGTGTTCTGAAGGAGTTGCACTTCTCAGCTAGCTATGTAATAGCAGCTACACAAATTACTCTGAACTGGTGCTGTCTCTTTCCATTCGAAAGCTATTCTGAAAGCCAGCATGGATTTCTCTTCCCTTGCTAATATGTCTTTTCTGGCATTTTCCCTCCAACACAAGCCTCACTTACCTAAACCAAAATTCTGTTCTTGCAACTAGATTTATCTAAGCTTTCTTTGCAAGAGCAAAAGTAGCTCTTTCCAAGGTCCTTAACTGAGTAAATATCTGAACCTCACGCACACTAGTTGTTTTAACAGGGTACCTGAGCACTCAGCACACCACCAAGGGACAGAGTCTTCATTGCTAAGCAAGGCTTTAATCTCAGCCTCCTCTGCCTCGGACCCAATTCCATCCTTTTAGGGGGTGCTCTTTCCTTTTCTTACCAGTTTTCTTACTTTCCATCCCCAAGGCAATGCTGAGCTGTCGTTCCTCAGTCCCCACCTCTGAATCTGCTTCCACATCCCTAGCCTTTGTTACTGGAGAACAAAAAACGCTTTCTGACTGGTTCCCATGGCCACTCTATGTTTTTGGTATGTTTTTCCCCCCCAAATATGTTTTTATTGATTTCAGAGAGAGGAAGGGAGAGGGAGAGAGCGACAGAAACATCAATGATGAAAATCATCAATCAGCTGCCTCCTGCACGCTCGCTGCTGGGGATCAAGCCTGCATCAGGGGCAGGTGCCCTGACCTGGAATGGAACTGTGACCTCCTGGTGTATGGGTTGATGCTCAACCACTGAGACTGGCCAGGCTACTTCTATGTTTTAAATAGGTTCTACTACTTGAAGCTACCTGAGCCATGACAGAGTCAATAGACCCAAATTCCTAGACACTCCACTAGCTTTTTTTCTTGTCAAGAACACTACCTGTGCAAGCCTTCCGCCATGACTGTTTTTCTAACTGGCTGATTATCACAATGTGCCTATCCAAGGGGAATGTTCCCTAAGCCTCTCTTCCTGCAATTGCATGAAATAGCTCAGAGTCCCACATTTCCCAAGGCCCCAGCTCTTCTCCTTGGTTTATTATATATAAGGGTGACCAAACCAGTTACTTCTGGTCCTTCCACAGTTCTCCGAAATGTATGTAATAACCTCCAGGCTTCAGTGCCAACCCATTTCCTACGTACTGTGGCCCCTCCTGCAAGGGCCACACGGAAGACCACGAAAATCACAAAAGCTGAGCACCTACCATCAATGGTTCTTTCCAAGTCTGGGCTGAGAAGGGGTTGCCTGAAGAGATAATATCTATCTGTATGTTCATGTTTGAGTGTGCTCACTTGCTCTCTCTCCACCGTTTTTCCTCCACCGCACACAAAAGGATAAGCATTGTATCCTCAAAGACCTCTGATTTTTGTTCAAAGAAAAAAGAAAAATAGAGCCTTACAGCCTCCTTGACCAGTTTTCTACTGGATTCCACCACTGCCTCTGTCAGTGTAAATTCCGTTTTAATCATCTCCAGCACATTGATAGCTGATTCCAGGGGTGTGAGCTCAGCCTCCATATCAAAGGAACAGTCTAGGACAAAGAGCACAGTTTTCACTTTAAAGCTATTTTCTCCAGAGTAGAAACGTTATGTCCAAAAATACATATATTAATGGACAGGAAACATGCAAATATAGTAAGATTTGCATTTGATTGCTGACTAACTCGCTATAGGCTTACAAACATGTTAAGGGTCTAAATTCAAGTCAATTAATTTGAAATGACTTAATTTTCAAGACAGGTAAAAAATTATTTTTTTTAACACATGCATTTGCAGCTCAAATTTCAAGATGCACACATCCTCCTCAGATACAAGCGGCCAGAAACTGTAGACCGTTTTGGCTAAAGAGCTTTCAAGTTCAATTCAGAAAATAAAAATGTGCTGCTACTGTGAAAACTCTCTATATGGGGGGAAAGATGTGGCCATCTTAACATAACTCACTTCAGACAGCAGCAAAGTTGGGGCGAGCAAGAAACAGGTGGGAGGAAATAAAAAGAAAAACGCAAACCACAGAAAAGCAGGCAAGAGAATCTCATCAACTGCAAGAAACGAGAGCCCAGAGCATGCTCATTCCAGAAGGAACACGACCACTGATCCGAACGCCGCGCACCTCAATCCCGAATCCTTCAGTCCCGGATGTAAATTTGGTAACAGAGTAACTCTAAACCCGGAGAAGAACACAAACATTGCCATACCTAAATTCTCCCCTTCTTCAATACGCGACAGACACTGCATAACCCGCAGCAGCCGGGACACGGTGTGCTCCTTTCCCAAGGGCCTGACAAGCAAAGCTGGGAAAGAAGACAGCGTTGGTT